TATTTTTGAAAATACAAATATATTTTTGGGTTTATTATCCAATTTGATAGAAAAAAATATTTTTTTAGAAAACGTTATTTTGGAGATAATTTTTAGATATTTAGAATATTAGTTAAATTTAACATCAAAATCCTCAAACCTCATATCAAACTAACACTAAAATTAATGTTGGCAAATAACATTAAATATAATACACAATTCATTAGTGTCAAATATAATCTTAAATTTTCTTTAGTAAATAATTGGTCATTCAGCTTTTAACTTGCTTATTTTTAGTTTATTTTCAATATAATTATATATTTGTATTATTGATATTATTTGTGTTATTATATTTAATAATTTAAGATATAATATATATTTACATAAAACACACAATCGAATATATATATATATATATATATATATATATATATATATATATATATATATATATATATATATATATATATATATATTACAAAATTTTAAAAAATCACACCACTACCATATATAATATTGGAATGCTAATTGTATGCTAAATATAAACTTTGTTTAATAAAATGATTGTTTCAATAGTATTATAATATGATAATTAGTTATATATAATAATTTAGTTTGATTATAACTCTTTGATAATATAATTTAGTGTAATTTAAATAATCATATATAATAATTTATTTTATTTATAAATTTGTGATAATATAATTTAGAGTAAATTTTTGATAATATAATTTAGAGTGATCATCAAGGTTGTGAAAATCGTTTTATCAGTAGCTCTGCGGTCGAATGACGTTAAACGATTAATCGGACTAGGAGACAATTAATTGAGGATCCTAAATTATTTAAAAAGTTATTAAAAAAATAATATATCCTAAAAATATAATTATTTGAAAATTTTAAATTTTAAAATTTTAGTATAATATATTAAAATTTGAAAACTAAAAATTTTAAAAACTTAAAATTTTGGTGTAGTATTTGAAAATTAAAAATTTTGAATTTTTAAAATATTTCTTGCCTGTGACCACCAATGGCCGTAAAGGACCACTAAACCCGAGTTTGACTGATTTCGACTAATTTCCGTCAAACACCCTGATCATAATCGGTTCAAGACCGCCGAACGATTAATTGACCGTCAATGCGTTAATCATATATAATAATTTATTTTATTTATTATTGATTTTGTAACGTGGTTAGTCCTTATGGTTTGCTTCCATTGTACAATTAATTTCTAGGCTATTAAATTTAATCATTTGGCTGATATTTTTGTAAATATGTCGATTTTCTACTTACCCCACCTTTATAAGGAACATAATTGTAACATCTTTTTTTTTTTTTTTTTTTTTTTTTTTTTTTTAATTTAAGAGATTATTTAGGCAATGTACATTAATAACCACCATCGCAATATATAATGCATTTTTAGGGGCAGTTATCAAACGTAATGTACTTTCAGGGACAACAAAGGTAATGCACTTTCAGAGGAAACATCAACAATATGAACCAATCACCACTAACCACCGATCACAAATCACCCCTTATGTTAAAACACCCATCGAATGTGGCTATTTGAAATAGTTTTTAATACTTTACCATCATTAACTGGATAACATAATTCATCACAAAATACATTACCACACAAATTGGAGCACATTGTTTTGACACAAACGTTACAAACAATAACAACAAGAAAACATATTATTTCTTTAAATAAACCCACACATCATTGTCTTATTTTTGTTGGAGCCTTAACATTTCCATTGGAACATATTTCTTCCCTTGAATAATGAAAAATACTAAGAACATTGTCCATATGATTTACAACTATAATATCTCCAGAAAAAAAAAAAAAAAACACCCACCAGAATTTGAAGAGGATCATGCCTAATTTGCTCTAATGAGACAGTCTCCCCAGGGGACCATTAACGTCATCATTTAATAGGGATTGATATTGAATGACGACCTTTTTAGCAGTTAAAACAACAAAGACATTAGCAAAATAGTAAGATTCTTCGAAGCCTATATTTCGTCGGATAGTTTAACCTTGTCGACTCTCTCAAACAACATGATTCGATTTTGACAACATCAATTCGATTTCAATTCCGACGAAGGGTTTGATTAGTAAAAAAAGAGGAGACGACGAGAATGTTTTACCGAAGACGTAACGAAATAAATGGGTAGAGAATTTAGGGCTTTTCTAACAACAAGGGTACAATGGTATTTTCATAGGGATCTAACGACTCTAACCAGACGAAGTTAAAGTTATGGACTATTAGGGCAACGAAATCAAACCATATGGACTATCTATATTACGAATCAATAGTAGGACCAATAATGTGGATTGGGGCAAACTACATGACTACGTGGTCGTGGGTTCGAGTCCCACAAATGGCAGCAATGATGTGATATTAGACCTCCGGGATGGTGATGATGCTTCGATTGTATGGATTTCGGTGGAGATCTGCAATCAGTACAAGAAACAGGCCGTCAGCCGTTCTCCTGGAGGAGGTCCTGGGAGAGCACTCCGACTGTTAAATTAGTCTCCGATAGAGGATAATGAATAACATAAGGCTTAGAGAGTGATGGTTCCACTGCTTTACTGTTGGAGGCTAATGACCTTTTATAGTAGAGATCTGGGCACAAATCCCACTCTTGGAGACAGGAGTGTCAGGCCTCAATTGGGATAGGGGCGCTGATTGGTGGATTGTACATTTGTCCTCTACATAAGCCATGATTGGTTTAACCGTGGTAATGGTGCGCACACCATCATTGGAGTTAGCGTGTGCTTGTTTGTCGTTTGTCGATATTTCTGCATATGTTCCAGACTGGATTCTGGATATCAAGAGACAGTTCGTTCCAAGCCGGAATGGGTGTTAGGCCGGGAGCATGACCAACTGGATTGGCTGCGTGGCCAATACTTTTGATATTTTCCGACGTGTCTAGGAGGCACGCTATTAGTAATAAAAAAATATGAGACAAGATTGTAAAAACCAAATAAATTTAAGAGCCGTTGAAGTTAAGTGAATTTAATATCAAATCATTTATTAAAAGAACTAGTTTTAATAAATATTTTTATTATCATCAATATAATTTGTAGGGATAATGACTTGAAAGGGTAACGAACTTTCAATATTTGTCACATTTAGTCACTAAACTTTTTTTCGTTATCTATTTGCCATTAAACTATTGAAACTGTTCACATTTTACCCTTATGACCGGCTGTTGCCGGTCATAAGGGTAAAATATGAACAGTTTCAATAGTTCAATGGCAAATAGATAAAAAAAAAAAGTTTAGTGACTAAATATGAACAAAATCGAAAGTTCGTTTCCCTCTATAAAGTTCAATGACTAAATGTGAACAAACTTCCTCTTGTATTATGTTTTAGCAAATTATTTATTTTTGTTAAATTGTAGCAACATTTGTTGATGAAGAAATCTATGAAAAAAAAAAAAAACAAAACCCTGAAAATATATTTAAAAAAAAACAAAACCGAAATAAAAAACCAATGGTTTGACGTTTTCCAAAATAAAAAATCAAAATTTCCAATCTGATTTTGGTTTTACAAAAAAATGAACCATTCTCACTAATGTGAATTATAACCATTGGTTTGGCATGCGAAATTTGTGACATCCTATGAATATGTAGTTACAATATCGTCTGAACTCGTAATTCATAGTAAGGGGTTAGAGTATCATCGCATGAATACGTAGTTACAACATTGCTTGAATTCGTAATTCATCACCTACAGGTTATGGGTCTGTTGGTGTTTCCACTGGGTTGTCTAGAATGGTACGTGGTCGCCATCTATACTCTGGTAGATGACTACATCGCCACATTGCTGGTTAAGGTTATGGTATCTTCTTTCATCCTACATCACATATTCATCATGATCTATTTACCGAATTATCATCACCTTTCTATCATCACCTATCTCTCATCATTTTATTTCATCACACACCAACTATTTCATCTACCCATGTTCCATTCGCAACATATTTGTAGATATAAAATAAATATACGGTTTAAATCTTTTAAAACATGTATAAAATCGTTCATCCAGCATAGACAACAAGTATTCAAATAATATGCACACGTAGCACGTAATTTATATAAAATACTTCATATCTATGTGTAAGATGAAATTAACTATATATACCATAAAAATCCAATAAATGCTTCCTAACTTCGAACCCCAAGGTTTACTCTACTAAAACTTAATATTCTCGGCTCTCTAGACCTAGAAGGGTCCAGATGTATCACACCAAAAAGCTCAAGATAGCTCTTCCTCTCACTCTACACACTCAAGCTTGCTAGGCTTCTTACTTATGGGAAAGGTAGTCGCAATTGAAGGCAATATGGCTTGGGCCCAAAGATTTAGGGTTTCTGCCAACAGCGCGGACTCGTCGGGTCGCCTCACCGACTCGTCGAGTCCATTCATTAATCCGAGTCATCAGTCGCGACCTTACTCGACGAGTTGAGGCGTCAACTCGTCGAGTCTCTCTTCTTAACTCAAAATAAAAATACTTAAATTATGATACCTGGAAATCCGGATGTTACATTTTGTTTTTTTATTTTCCTACATTTCTTCATCAACAAATGTTGCTACAATTAAACAAAAATAAATAATTTTGCTAAAACATAATACAATAGGAAGTTTGTTCACATTTAGTCATTGAACTTTTTAGACGGAAACGAACTTTCAATTTTGTTCACATTTAGTCACTAAGCTTTTTTTCATTATCTATTTGCCACTAAACTATTGAAACTGTTCACATTTTACCCTTATGACCGGTAACAGCCGGTCATAAGGGTAAAATGTGAACAGTTTCAATAGTTCAATGGCAAATAGATAACGAAAAAAAGTTTAGTGACCAAATGTGACAAAAGTCAAAAGTTCATTACCCTTTCAAGTCATTATCCCTAATTTGTATAATTTGTTATGATAGATCAAAATAATTGGCATGAAATAATTAATACTCAGATGATTTTCATTAATAATTGAAAATAAAAAATAAGACAAAATATAGTGGTTTGTTGCCCTATATTTTTTATCCTGGTAAAAAAAAAAGGGGGATTTTAAGGGATTTGGTCCAAGCCCAAGCGTTTACAGAGAGATCTGAGCCCAACGATGAGAGGAATGGAAGATGAGTGTCATCTTGTTGCTTACGAGATTCAACTTCGTTTTTGAAATTTCTGCAACTCGAAGCAATTCCTTCTGGGAGACTAGGTCGCTCGTAGACTTTTTACATGTTTTTCAACTCTCTTAAGCTTATTATCATTACAATATCGTTCAAATTTGACCCTTTACGATGATGTCCCCAAATCCTAGCTCCGACGATCGCGGCTCTTCTAATGCGGCTAATTTCAGGTATATTTGTCTGTTGATTTCGTATCAGTTATAAGGTCTATTGATTCGGTGACCAACGCCCAGCCTCAAACCCTGATTATAGAAAATTAGGAGAAAATTACACACAAGAGAATGAAACTCCTACATGTATTGTTGATCGAGGTTTTACAAATTAATTACTTCCAACTCTTTTTGGCCTATATCTTCTGTTGATTTACCTCACTCACATTCTTCACTGTTCACTAAACATTGAAATTAGTACTACGGGGAGTAGAATGTGCGCGATGAAAGCTCTTTCAGTCGAATGGTTTTCTTTACCTGTGATTCCCTAGTTATCTCCATAGAAACAGCATAGAGAGATTAGAGATAGATCGTGTGTATTCTTTTAATGTTCCAAACCTCAATCACAGTGAAAGGGACAAACATAATGAAACATTTGTACAAATTTCAAGTCCTGTGCTTAGTTATATCCTCTTATTGGATTGCGAGATCAACTGATTAATATGTGTACAACAGGCACACCCCCTTGCAAATAATCCATTTCATTGGCAACTTCTTGAGGATATGGTCTGTGTATTCCATGTACAGCTATCTGTCTCAAACAGGAGCTTCTGTTGTACTTTTTATCTTCAGTTGTCTTGTTCCATCATCCATCCTCTTTTTAATTCTGCAAAAGCCATGGAAAGGAAGGCCACTCTCAAATACACAGGTAAAACTGAATCCTTCAGACATAATATTTCTGTTACAATACATCTTTTTCTTTAAAAACTGTCTTAATTTTCAGGTAGTACCTTCGCTTATTAATGGTGTGATTACAGCTTTATACTACATCTTATGGGGAATAGGCCTTAAATCCTGTGGCCCTGTTAGGTATGTTTGCTTCTTGATAAAACAGTTAAGTTGGCTACATTTTCCCTAAGGTCAATTTGGTCATTTCAGGGCTATTTTGGCAGAGTACTCAGGTGCTGTTCTTGGAGTTCTTTCTGCTGTTTTGTATGGCCGAAAAGGGCATATTTGGAAAAAGGTTGGTGGTCTGTTTGCAATGTTGGCATCTTTCTACTTCTTGTCTCAAGGATGGGCTACTGCTACATATTCTCCATTCTATATCCTCTCATTAATAAAAAATTATACTTTTTTCTAACTTCTTCTGTAAATCTGTTGTGAGTTTTATATTTGATGAAAGACTTAACTAGAAAATACCATATAATGATAGCGATGATACTGAAGGTAAAACACAGGAAATATTAAACATGAAGAGCATGATAGCTCCTATATCTGCTGGAGTTTTATCAGCATTAAGAAGGGTAATCACAAGACGTATCTCACTTAAGGTATTTAAACACCTTGAAACATCTTTTTTTACAAATTCTAGTAACTAAAACATGATTAAACATATATTTTTAATTTTCAGAATCAACTAAAAAGAAGGCTTCATGCTATAACTATTGCATCTGCCACTTGCTTTCTGTTTCCTGTAGCCATGTGGGACATGATTGTAGTAAGTTTAGCTATTGACTCTTTCTACTTTCCATCACTTAAACATAAAACTTTTCTTTTTATTTATTTATTTATTTATTTAATATATACAAACAGGGTTCTAGCTCAACCAATGTGGAATTGCCATTTTCTGTTTGGGCTTTTTCAAGCACCATTCTCTTTGGTGTAATATTAATATTTTATGTGGATAGCATTGCTGAAGAAAGGTATCCTAATTCCTACATGATTTCTCAATTCTCATTATTATTTATTTTATTTTATATAATATTAATTGTAAGAATATAATATTTTAGGCTGCATATGGTGTTCTCATCTCCAAGACATTTAATGGTTGCTGGAGGATGCTTAATTCTCATGGAAATCTTTTACAAAATGGACTTCTCATTACCAGGCTTTTTGATTTGCTGCATTCTATTGGGCTTTGGTACATCACTTTTATATCAAATTTCACTATTACTCTCTTATCATTTACTAAATACTATGACAATAAGAAGTTAATAAAATTCTTTCATGGTTTTAACAATGTTTATTTATTTTTTCGTGTAGGAATATACGAAGCAACTTCTTTGGAACGTGGGAAAAAAGACAATTTAAATAATATTGATGTTGGGAATGGGATATTTGATGATCAAAGTCAAAGGTCTCCTCTTCCAACTTGATATATTTGAGACTCGTATCTTTGTTAATTGGTAAGTCCTGAATGTGTAATGATGTCTGTCTGGATAAAGTGCTGTATATATCTTGTCTGACTCTTTTGTCTTGTATTGTAGCATGGATTATGTGTATGTACATCACGAGAGAGAAGATTAGAAGCACGTGTTCCATAATTGATAATATCTTTATTTTCACAAGAACTCAAGAAGCTAAGAAATTTACTCATGAAGGAAGAGAGGTCAAGTGATGAAAATGAAGTGAATGTGAAAGTTGATTACTAACCAACTATTTTGAGTGTTATTACAAGATTAGTCACTTTTTTCACATTTTAATGTATGAGAAAGTAACCAACTAACAAATTTGTTCAAATTATACCAATATGACTTTCAATGGTTTTATCGGTTATACCCCTTTTATATGGCTTCTACAATCTATATGGTGTTCCCGTTGACATCAACATTAATAATGCTATAAACATCATGAATGAAAACGACGCACATTTGTCAGTTAATATGTTACTGTTACTGTTACAAAATCTGCAAAGAAGAAAGTTACTTGAATATACTTTAATTCAAAAAAGAGTAACGTTACTAGTTTCAAATTCTCTATCCGAGTACAAAATTTTCTCAACTTCATCAATGTTGTATAGCAACAAGTCTTTCTCTTTCCTTAAAGACAATAACCTTAAAACACAATCTATATCTTCCCATTGAGGATGCGAATGATCTCCCGCCGAAAATGCAAAAACACAATCTTTAACCTTAATCCAAGACCACCCTGGTTCCTTAACAACACCTTTTATCCTCATTAATCTCCTCAAATCTGCCGCTTCTTTCCACCTCCCTTTACCTGAATACAAATTCGCCAAAGTAATATAAGTTGAAGGGCAATTTGGGGTTTTCTCAAGAATCTTGGCGGCTGCCCGCTGCCCAAAGTCAACATCACCGTGTAATCTACAAGCTCTCAACACGGTTGACCACACAACATCATCGCCACTAAATGGCATGTCATTTATCATGTTTTCAGCCTCACGTAATCGACCCGATCTACAAAGTAAATCGATCATACAACCATAATGTTCTTTAGATAAACTTAGGTTATATTTTTTAATTAGGTCAAAGTATCGAAAACCTAAGTCAACTAAACCCGCATGGCTACACGCGGTTAGAACCCCAATGAATGTGACCCCGTCTGGTTTTAAACCGGACCCAATGAGCTGCTCGAAGAGGTCAATAGCTTGTTGACTCAACCCGTGTTCCGCGTACCCATTGACCATTGCAGTCCATGACACGATATCGTTACATTTAACCTCATTGAAAACCTTTAAAGCTTCTAAAATGGACCCACATTTTGAATACATATTGATTAAACCACTTTGAACCATGGGTTCACAATCAAGACCTACGCATAAACAATGGGCATGAAGTTGTTTGCCTAAATCAAGATTCGCCATGGTCCCACATACGCTTAAAACACTAGCAAAAGCGAATTCATTCGGTTTTAATCCTTCGTTTCTCATTAAAGAAAGATACTTAAAAGCTTCATCTCCAAAGCCCATTTGAGCATGTCCTCCAATTATAGTGCTCCATGAAACAATATCTTTTTGTCTCATTTCTTGAAAAACTATTGATGATGACTCTAACTTTCCACATTTTGAATACATTGTCATGATGGAATTAGCCACAGACATAAACTTTATAAAACCACTATGTAAAACACGCGTGTGAAATTGTCTACCGAAATCTATTTGTGCAAGATTTGCACAAGCAGAGATGAGTCCTGCGAGAGTGTACTCGTTAGGACTCACCTCTGATTCTTGCATACGCAAGAACGCGTTAATCGCGTTATGTTCTTGACCCGTTTGAACATATGATGTGATCATTGTTGTCCATGAAACAACATCTTTTGTTTTGATTTTATCAAATAAGTGTAACGCGTATTCACCTTTTCCACATTTGTTATACATGGTGGTAAGAGAGTTGGCAACAAATGAAGTTGTATCAAAACCTTTCTTCAATGTTTGTGTGTGAATTTCTTTACCACTACGTAATAAACAAGCATCTGCACATGCTTTTAATGCGATAGCTATTGTGTAGGAATCATATGACATACCATTTTGTAATAAGTTAGAAAAATATGAGATCCCTTCGGTGTTGAAACCAGCACGAACTAACCCAGTTATGATTGCAGTCCAGGAGACTACATTTCTTATAGGCATTTCATCGAACACTTTACAGCCTTCGTATACTTTCCCGGTTTTCATATACATGTCTAAAAGAGCGCTGCCTACAAAGACGGAACTCACGAGATCGGTTTTTACTGAGTACCCATGAAGTGATTCGCCTTGTTTAGCACTGAAACTGAGAGCGCATGCCTTGAGTGCTAGACTGAATACGAAGGGGTCCATTCGTTGAGAGGGGTCGACCCACATGTTGGAGAATAAAGACAAGGCTTCAGATGAATTGGAGGTCTTTACGTAGCCAGATATTATGGTGGTCCATGTGATTTCATCTCTGTGAGGTAATTTATCAAACAGTTGGCGGGCGTCACTCAACCTGTCTGATCTTACGAGCTCCTTGAGTTTGGAGTTGACTTCGAACATGTCGAATTGAGTGACATTGTGTGTTTCTTGAAATGATTGGGGCTTGAATGTTTGAGCGTAGGCAATACATGAGGTTGTATACGATCTTTTGATACAAATTCTGGCTGATATAACCATGATTCGTCACTAATCCACTATAGATCGTTGATCGTTTACGCACCTACTGACCTACAAAATGTATAGCAACCATCAATAATGCTTCTGGTTCTAGCCTCCCTATTACAATAAACTGTCTTTGCTTTGTATGGTTTAAGTCGATATCGTTATATACTTATATTATGTAATTATGTTTCCGAATATGTTTAACAATGGATCACTAAAATAACCAAAATAAAACTTTAAAATCGTTATTTTTACTATTTAGTATTTACTATAAAAAATTATTTATATTGTAAAATGGAATTTATAGTTTCTTCTATGAAATTGCTGTATGAATAGTTTTTCACAACATATATGTTAGAAAAAAGAGAAGAATTTAAATCGGATTACATATTTTTTTTATTTATACACATTTAATTTTGTGTTCTCTTTTGTCCATATTTTTCTATTAAAATTGTTTGAACCGTTCAAAAAACATCATTATGACTTTTTATAGTAAGTTTAACCGGTTTATGACATATTTGAAAGCTCTAGCGAAGCTCCAGTCGTCTTCTTCGTTGATTATATGATTTTTCCGACGATCGTTGATAAAAAGAAACAAAGAAAATAAGTAAGAAATGGAGGATTAGAGTGGGAAACGAGAGAGACGAGGAGGATCTAGAGATCTGAGAAAGAGGAAGGGGTTGTGGTTTGTGGTGGTGAAGGTTTGGAGGGCGACAACATTTGATGGTGGATTCAGGAGAGCAGATATGGAATTCTGACGAAGTCGGTGCCGAAGGGTGCTAGGGTTTTGGCCGAATGCTAACAACCATGGCATGGCAGAGGCGATGAAGGGTGATGACCAAAATCTCGTCGGAGAAGTAAGTGGTTTGTGGTGGTGAAGGTCTCGATTCTAATGGTGGATTGGAAGTTGAAGATGATGAACAATGATCGATTTTAATAGTGGCCAGAGAATATGACCAAAATCTCGTCGGAAAGCATTGTTGGCCAGAGAAGATAACCATAGTCTCATCGGGGCTGCCAAATATGTCAGAAACATACTATAGCATGTCATAAAGATGTTTTTCGAACACTTCAAACAAATTCAATGGGAAAATTTAGACAAAAAAAAAAAAAAACAGTGACTAAATTTATACCAATAAGAAAATAAACCACTTTTCAAAGTCATTACTTCTTAAAAAATTCTATTGAATTTTAACATCATTTTGCCAAAACAACAAGGAAATGTATTTTACAAAAACATAGTTGAGTTAATTTCTTTTACAAAATTTTACAACTTGTTGATTGTGTTATATATTATTTAACTATAAAACAATACTGAAAAAATGACAAGGTCATTAAATGTTTGCATACTATCATTTTTTCTTTGAAAATTTATTGAATCTAAACATTAAAGAAAAAAAATAAGATGATCACAATAGCTATGTTTTCTAATTTTTTTTATCAGAACAAAAGAAAAAAAATACTCAATAGTTAGGATTTTTGCAGACAATCATCTACAAAAATCTGTCATTTGCGATTTTTTATCCAATTTTTCAAAAAAAAAATTTCATTTTTGGATTAGCCAAAATACATTTCCATAAACCATGAAATCCAAGTACAATTGTTTTCAAAGCTCATATCAATTACAATTTTATTTCAAAACATTAGAGTGTCCCATAAAATGTCTGAGAGAGTGCACGCCGCGCCATCAACCCTTGCCATTGCCCTTGGGCTCAGAAGTACCTGAAATAAATCTACAAACTGTAAGCTAATGCTTAGTGAGTTCCACAGAACATACCGCACATACAATCCACATAACACATATCATATCAGCCGTAAAAGCTACACATATCACATAAGACATGCATACAACAAATAAGGATGTCGTGGAACCTCCTAAGGTCTTACTCCAGGATGTCATGGGCTCCCCCACATGGTCTTATACCTAAATGCCATGGGCTCCTCCCATGGTCTTTAACTGGAAAGCCATGGGCTCCTCCACATGGTTTTACACCCAGGTTTCATGGGCTCTCCCATGGACTTTACTTGAAAAGCCATAGGCTCCCCCACATGGTCTTACAGTTAAGTGCCATGGGCTCCCCCATGGTCTTCCCTGCAAGTAACGCATACCTATAGCAAAGCACTAACATAACTAACTATCGCAACACGTATCTCTACAATCAACAAGTATGCCACATATCACACAAAATGGGCCGGCGTTGGTGCCTTCGACCCATTGGTATGGTGAGGAGACCCACCTCTCACGAATGCTATGCTGACAAGATAAGATCGAAAAAGTCCCAATGCGTAGCTCCAACTCAACTTCCTATAAGCATCATAAGATTAACTCGTCATAATCCCATAATTACCATCAAAGTCAACTCTGGTCAAACCTAGTCAAAGTCAAGGTCAACTATCCATGTTGACCCCAACTTGTCGAGTGCATCTAGCAACTCGTCGAGTTCCTACAGAGTACAGAGAACCTGAACAAACCCTAGCCAACTCGTCGAGTTGTTTCATCAACTCGACGAGTTCACTTGCTATCCAGAAGACTGGGAAACCCAATCCGACTCGTCGAGTTGCTAAGGCAACTCGTCGAGTCCCCCTCCCTGTTTGCTTATTATGATGATTCACCGAATGCAGGGACTCCAGGGCTTAGATCTGTGTGACATCCCCAATTTCATGGCCCGAAAAAGACCGATTTGTTTATGAGTAGTCGATGAGTTGACGGCTTGTAGGCGTGGGATAGTAGGTGACTGGAGAATCGGTGATGAGTGGGTGAAGGGGTGAGGACGTGAGGAGCGGCCGCCGGCT